AGGAAAATCATGAATACATATACATATGATTTGACTCACAAATGCTACTTAAAATTGAGGTTGGAAGTTGATTTTCTACCAAAAAGTGGACAGAAAAGTCATATTTTTATCGTACTGGATCTTTATCATGAATGTAAATGTTTGAGATATCAAATCTACTCAGAGCATTACACAATATCGATTTCATGCATACGGATGAGAAATCATGAAATTCGATGAACGGAACTCTTCTATCAATGATCTCACCAGGGCTGAGAGCTGATTAATTCCATAATCTAAGAATTTATCTAAAGGAGTATCATTTCCGTAAAAAACTAAAATGCCTATTCCATTAGAATGCGAATGCTCTATCTGCGCTTAATGACGGAAATGTCAATTCCACTTAGGACTTGAGAAATACTCGTGATTTCAACACAACAACCAAACAAACATCCCCCAATTCGATTTGGGCTATGACATAGCAAACGTTGGATCCTTTAATTGGAAAAATTGAAATCAAGCCAATTATGTAAGAATTGGTGGTGGTGGTGGTGGTGGTGGTATAATTTTATATACCACTCAGAGCGTTCTCCATAGCGAAAATTTTGATGAGCAGATGCTTTTTAAATATAACATTTAACAGCGTTCATTTATTAAGTGAAGTTGAAGATTTCTGTCTCAAAGCCAGATCCTTCCATCTAATTCGATTGGCATTTGGTGTACGAACGTCTTTAACACCTTTATGACCAGTGCCGAAAATCCTACCTCAGATCTAATAATACTCACTTCACAATTCTTACATGATAATTTCAATCCAATAAATTTGGCTTTAAAATCAGATGGAGTTGAACTGAACTGCGAATACGAAATGATAAATGCAAACCTCCACTCCCGTGTTACAACTTTCATCGCATCCATTTAGCGCTTTCAAACTGGCCAATAAATGGAGATAAATGAAAGAATTGTCTCTTTGATCTTAGGAAAACATCATATCGTGTCTCCCTCTCTCTGTCTCTCTCGGGTAAATTTTTATTTCACTCCTAGGGCCTATTAGTAAAGTTAGATGCCCCATTAATTTTTTTATCATTTTTGTCCAATTAGAAGGAGGCTTTTGAGAGAATGTCCAGGTATTTATTTCAAATGGCAGGCTTTATGATATTTATCATTAGCCCTACAGCATTCCACTGGAGGATCTGAAGACGTTGTGATTCGCCCTGACGAGGACGATTTTTCTTATAGCCTTTTTTTAAAGCGAATCATAATAAATAGAAGTCAAAATGCCGAGTGATAGACTTTTTTGCCGTAAGAAAATACGTTGTCCAGGATGCACCACGTGGAGGTAGGTCTGTCGGAGTTGGCTGAGAATGCCATGTGGCCAAACCATTAGCAACCGGGTGGCGAAATGCTCAACTGCTGGCTCCGAAGTCCCTCCTCAATATGCAAAGTATAATGGCCTATATAGTGTGTGTGTTTGTGTGTGTGCTTAATTTGTAGAATGTCCAGGTAAAATGCGGAAAAGGACTTGAATGTCCAGTTAATAATGTCGGGCATCTTTCTACAGCTGTTGGGTTAATAACCAAAAATACATGTACTTTTGAAGTATTTTGAGCAATCCACGATTTCGATTGGACGCCCTTTTAGGCATGACTTCAACACAAAATTTTGACGTGACTGATCTTTAGCTTTAAATATCGTTTGTAATAAATAAAGGGAAAGGAATTCTACTTGCGGTAATGCCCTCAACAAAATCAGTTGAGGGCATAAAAGTTTGAGATTGCTCCATTGGTACAAGTTGCTTGGTGAGTGCTCCACTGAGGAGATGACGGAAGCGGTATGGCCACACCCTTTCTTAAAGTTGACCAACTTCAGATGTTGGTTTTCCGCTGACACCGGAAGATTTGGAGCTGAATTTTGAAATAAGTGCCCAAGAAATTATAAGCAGCTTTCAGTCTTTGCTTGTGAAAATTAGAGCAACTGCCAGACAATTGACCTAAGGAAATAACCTTCTCCCACGTCATGAAGGTGTTAAGGATAAAGAGACGCACAATGGTCTGCTGCCATGACGTTAAAAGTTCACTTTCGTCACACTTATTTCAGAATAAGCGGATCTTTTACCATCTGATATGCCTACTTTCGGCATAATCGGATTTAGAAAACTTCCACTCGATTTGGAAGTAAAAATTAATTGTAAACGCCGTTTCAGCACCAACTTACCAGCATTCAGAGGGGCAAAGACGAGTGATATCAGTTGAGCCTTATTTTGGCACCTGCATACATCAATTTAACCAAGAAATTCCACGATTTAAGCAATAATTCAAAGGTATCAAGCAATTTTTCACAGTAGATTCAACTAGAATTGTCACCGAAATTTCTGAAATTGGGAAGAATGGGTCCTACGATAACTTAAAAAAGATTTATAGGACCTACCAACTTTATAAATAAAAGTGAAATCTCTCTCCTCATTCTTTTATTTAAATATTTCAAAATTATTTAGAATAGTTCTTCAAGGTTAAAACAGACGAAAAGGCGTTTGAGATCGTTTTTAAGTGATCACGTAGGGGTAGTAATGAAAGCAGCTAATAGAAACCCCGAGGTCCACTTGGGGCAGTGGAGTCTCCTTGAGAGGAAACTCGAATTCTGCCACTTCCCCTTTCATTGCCCACAGCAACGAGTCACCGCATGCTCAATCACACTGTGGTCCTCTCAAGATGGGGAAATCGAATTTTTATGCCATCAAATTCACAATTCGATGTGGGAGAGCCTTATAGATCTTAATTCTGCTTTTATTGGAAAGACACCAGGAACTGAAGTGGTACTTTTCTCTTTGCTCACTATTTCTGAGAAGATCACCACAATGAGAGTGCAGTTGGACTGCTTAACATACGAAAATTGACGTTTTACAAGTCTGGTAAGCAAATTCGCGATCACAGTTTTTGCATGCTAAGTTCATGTACCATTATTCTGCTTCCTAATAAGAAATGAATTTGACGGGAGGAAGACATTGTCGACAAAATGCGCTTGCTAATCCGAATCGTAAAATTAAATTTTTGAAACGTGACCAACTCATTGATTAACTACGTTGCAAACGAATCCGAATAAAATGGAACTATTTGGTCAAACCCGTACTTCTCCTTAGCATCTTTCAAGCCCTTTCACATTCTCTTGAACTGGACTTTATACTCCCAAGGGCCCTTATCGTGCTAAGGGCTGACATAACGTTATATGACAGATTAGCAGTAAGACGTCTTCCTATTATTGCTATAAGGACCCTGAATTGGTTGCGTTAAACACCCGATTGGAAAATCTCTTATAGTGGGGGTTTTAAAGTCGAAGAGGAGTGGATATCCGCAAGCCAATTCATTAAGTTTTGAAAGTTAATAAAAGTTGACTTCCGAATCCATTAATTCATTTAAATAGTATCCGTAACATTCGAAAAACCATGTTCTACTGGTAGATCTTGCTGATTGTTATTGACACAAAATCAAACAGGCTTTCAAGTGCGTTCCAGTATAAGCATTCCATCGATGGAAATTCCAATACAATTTCCCGTGATTTGTTATTTTCAATTAGGAGAACAATAAAGAATGCAGCATGAAAATGACACGAGTCAGAGGCAAATGACTTTGGAAACAGCAATTCAAAGATCTAATGACAATACAGGTCTCAGGTTTAGCTTCCCCATTGCAAACACCCGTTACTATAGAAACTCGGTGGGAAGTCAAATGGATTCTGTTCTGTTCCATGTTTTATAAACGCTTCATTTCATACGAATCTATAAGGAAGAGTTTCTCAGCCAAATTTAATATAAAATTACAGAATCACTATTTCTCCTACGGAAATAACTTCGTTTGGGAGACCCTAATTGAACCCCACGCCACGTGATTCAGGCAACTTGAAACTGCACAGCGCGCGATCGATCCTAAATGCACTTCACATTTCGCTAAAATGCTTTTACATCACAATTCACTGCATGTACTATTAGGCTTAACAACTTATCTGCACCAAATACCGTTTTAGGCTCTAAAGAAGTTGAAAGGACGACTGGATCATCGATTATTGGAATTATTGACTAGAAGTAACCAATGGTTAAATAACCTCACAAGCCAACTAGCAATACAAGTTGTTGACTGGGTCTTCTTTCTGCAGTTTCTTGAGAAGAACAACTCAATTCAGGATTGAATAGGGATGCCTTCGATTACTGCATGGTTGTGGATAGCAATGCAGCTTGATCGTCGGCTCAAGTGGCCGATTGCGCACAACTTGAGGAGGGGAGGGGAGGGGAGAGAGAGCGCGAGAGTAGACAAATTAAAAACTTCTTTCAATATAGAAATCAAACAGACATCCGCAGGGAAAACGAAGGAAAGCGATTCGACGCCCCAACAGCACATTTTAGGGGAGAGAGAGAGAGAGTAGGGAAGAGGGATTGCAGAGCATTCAATCATTTTTGTACACAAGTGAGATAAGGGGAGAGGGGCGAGCAGACACATCAGATGCGCATAGTGGCCATTACTTGGGTAGCTACCTTCTGGAATTGGATGGCGGATCCGCGGATTCGTTTGAGACAGACAGCGCGCTGGTGGATTCGGGGGATATTGCAGACCTCCATCTCCCATTGGAGCATGTCAGAGGAAACAGGAGAGGTGGGACTCGGACCATCAGTGTTGGCGGGGGTGTCTGAAGAGGACCCGACAGAAGCCACGGGGATCACAAGTGGAATTTCAGACACTGCGGGAGTGTCGACTGCGGTAGCAGTCGCGGGGGCAGAGAGATCAGAGAGAACGGGCGACCAACCACAATGTAGGAGATAGAGCCACACAGAATCAGCCTCCCACTGACAACCTTTGACAGTCTTGAGAGCTCGTTTCACCTCTGTCATGAGTTCCGAGGCACTTTTCGAGGAGGTAACATGCACACCCCAGGGACTGCGAACCTCCCTCGGACGCGTCTGCACCTGACGCTTTCCATAGCGAATTAATTGTGTAGGCTCCGTTGCCTGTTTCGATGGTCTATAAGAAAAGACGAGATTGTAGTGAATAGTGCGTGCGCATACCAACTGCCTACGGTAGATACTCACCCCTGGAGGATGTTCCCGAGGGCTCGAAGAAAGTTGCGGGTCCATGTGGTTTGATGAGATGTCGATGTGGTGGCCTGAGGTGAATGGAGGAAATCAGTGTTTCCGCGTCGTTGATGCCCACCGCTGGAATCAGCCCCACCTTCTGCAGGCTTGTTGAGAGGAGGAGGAGCCACCTGGTTGGAGGAAGAACCGAGATTTTTGCCCTCCAAGACAACCTCCTCCCCCGTAGTTGTAGTAGGTCTTGGTGCCGCCTCTTTGCTACTGCAGCTCTCGCCTTCTCCTGCTACCGACTCCTCTGCAATTGGTGCCACATCCTCCTACAAAAGAAAAGAACCTCGAAGTTGCTCTGGTAGCAATCATTAACTCTTGAAATTACCGTTCATTTCTATTGGTTTCTAGCAGTACTTCATTTTCAAACAACACTAGCGTCATTCTCCAACAGATTAGAAACCAATCCACCAATATCTACTTAACGTGCTTAATTCACAGACGCCTTAAGTACAAATTAATGAATGTAAACCCCCCCCCCCCCAATTACCATTAAGACTAATTGCAGATGAATGTTTCCATCAAGGAAGTTAAATTGATTATTCAAGATAAAGCCCTCGCTAAAAGGCGAACGATTCGCAGAAATTGCCCAACTGTATGAGAATATTCGTAAAAAAATAATGCCTCTGCACCACCTTAAGAAACCCACTTCCGGAACCCATTTTCCAGCCGCTATATGTCCCATGAAGGGCCGATGCGGTTAAAACTCAACTTATTAGAAAGCCATCTTCAAGCTGACAGTAAAACAACTTTCAAGAAAGAAGCGAAAAGTGACAGCACAGCATTTTGAATTGATCAGTAAGGGAAGCAAGAAATCCACGCGCATAAAGTCCTCCCCTACCCCCCNCCCCCCCCCCCCCCCCCCCCCACCCTCCTCATTATCTTAAGCCAGAGCAGGGAAGGCGGCAGAACTTGCCCGACAAGAAGCAGCAGAGGAAGCGGCATGTTGGGACCGATGTCGAGGTCCACCGCAAGTAGACGGTGGAGCAGCAGTGACGGAGAGACCCGGCAAATCGAGTTTGTGACTTCGTGGAGAAGCCCCGACATCACGACTTGCTCCCGCAGTTGTAGCGGCTCGTTTTTGGCGTGAACTCAGTGGAACTGGAGCTGGAGTAACTGCCACTCTGCAACACAAAACGGCACATTCAGGTGGTTTGAGCTCAAGAGGACAAAGACAAGCAAGGGAGTGAAAGAAGATGGAGTTAACTTTCTTCTCTTCCCTCCTCCCCTTCTCTGGCTATTCAAAGTTTTGAAGGCGGCACACACAACACAAGGGTGCTTTGAGTGACAGGAACAACAATCACATGACTGAACTTCAAATATTGAGGATGGAATCTTGATATTGTAGAACCCTGTCTTTAGTAAGACTTAGGACATTCAAAAGTTTATCATTTGAATTTAGTGCTGTTAGTTGTTTCACGGAACAGTGAGCCAACCTAAACTGCAAAAGAATCGCCTTTTCCGTGAGTATTCCGGTAAAAATGGCAGCCTTGAAAGCCAAAGTTCTTGCATGATTTTCTGTGAGGTGATAATTTATGTCTTTATAGACAAGAATTCCTTGGTTTGCCAACATTATGACTTTGTGTATACCTACTTTCTCACTTCTATTGGTGGTTAAGAGTTGCTAAAACTTACGAGAAGCAAACTGAGAGACAATGTGTAAGTCTGCACACCTCGTGTGCGTGCGTGTGTGTGCGTGTGTATGTGCGTGCCAAACACAATGGCATATAAGTCTCACCAGGCATCGATTAGAAGTGTGGTTACAGGTAACTTTCTTTTTAGGTTTAAATTAAAAGCAAATTAGAGGGAAGCCGGAGTGTTAGTGCGTCTCTTACTGAATGCTGCTCCGAGGGCTCTTGGATGCGTCCACAGGCAAAGATGAGCGCCTGAGAACATGCGCGACGAAAATACAATTTAGAACAGGAAATATAAAGGGGGAAGCACGCCTCGTGAAATAAAAGGAGCCAAAGAAAACGAAAACACAGAGAACAAATGAAAGAAGCGTTAAAATTGTGCTCACCTGGGCTGCAGATCCTTCGCTTTGCGGTGTTTTGCTAAAAGGGGAGAAAACAGGACTTCAGTTAATAAAAATACGAAATTCCATAGAGTGCAAAGGTTGATAAAACGACCACTCCTCCTCCAGGTTGCAAGAGTGCTGTCAAGGAAATGAAATGTTCTGAGATGCCAGAAACTACCCCCCCCCCTTGGCTCAGTCCACTGAATTAAAAAGAAGTGCATTTGGCCTTCTAATAGAGTAAAATTAATCAATGTCTAAGGATATACACACTTTTGGCACAAATTAAGATTTAAATAAAATTTTTATTCTTGAAGCAAATAAGGTACAAATTTTAGCATTCTCAACTCCGAAAGGTCATTCCGTTTTCCGCACCTTTGGAAATAAATCAATTAAAGCGACAAAGGCTGACCATCAATATTAAGCAGAAGGTCACTAGAATGTCGTGAATAAGCATTCGCTCAGAAGCCTCGATTCATGAAAGGTGATCAGCTTTGAGGTAGGATGGCCGTTTTCTCTTACCGTCAGGCTTCTCAGGTTCCCGAGACCTTGAGCTTTACCTATATGGGGAGTTTCTTAGCAAAGGATTATGTAGACCATATTTCAAACACATCCGCTGATTCTGTCGAGATTCAATTGAAAGTACTTTTTATTTCAAATAGAGTTCTTTAGCACCTAAAACAACTAGTCGCCAAACAAAAGGCGGGTGGAGAGGTTGGTTGACGGATCACAATCTAAAGTACCTTAGCATTGAGCGCACTCTTTGTGTGCATTTTCCAGAAAATAAAACGCACGGAGAGATCTAATTTAAATAGCAAAATTAGACACATATCTGAAGGTCGAATCGGAACCCCACAAAGTGTTAGGAAATTATCTCCTTCAATTTCGCTACCATTGTTAAGCCCTTTTAAAATAATCCATAGGAGAGCTTTAAGCTGATTGATTTAACCACGTTTGTAGAAGCATACCTAGACAAACAGATAGACAATTCAACAAAATATGCAGCACTTTCTTAGAATGCGGAACAAAGTCACACGAGGATTTGTGGAGGGGAGGGGGGGGGGGTTGAAGAGCAAAAGAAAAGAAAAAAGCAAGTAAGTGAAGCAAAAAAACAGACAAATTCGAATCTGATCCATCCTCTTTGTCTTTGTTTAAGTTGGTTCATAAATTGATGTATTAAATAAGGTCAAAAGAGAATGAGACTGGAATGAAGAGGTCAGAAATGCTCACTTGGCACCTACCTAGTAATAAATACTACCCTAAACAGATAATCAAAAACAACGATGGGTGGGGGGCGTAGCGAAAAGGTAAAAGATCGTCATTTCGCTGGTCCAAGATCCCTTGAACTCGGAAAAACCAGCGCATAGGTCACTAGACCAATGTATTTGGGAGGCTTTGCAGGATTGATACGATGGTCACCAGTTGCTAGGCCAAGACTCTAGCAGAGCGAATTCGCCACTATTTTCTTCAATTGCATGAGATGGCAAGTTGAAGGGACTAGTTGTAAGTTTCTGAAAGCATGACATACTGATTGCAGTAATCATTGGACCAGCGCAATTTCGTTACAGAATGCAGTGTAAGCCCAGGCACACGGCATATTGTTAGCAAAGAAACTCTGCATTATTACGCATTTTTGTTAAGTGTGTAACAGTACACTCTCAGCGATTTATAAAAATGTGATATCCCTAATGATAAGTTTTTTCCTCTACTAGCGATATTCAAATTTTAAATACAAGATAACGAATACCGCTCACTCTAACTTTGACACTAAAAAGAACTGCGTGGTGAAATTGACGCACTATATCTTTAAATCACTATAAATCGGTTCATTATTCCAGTCTTCTAACTCCAGATCTGTCGCACAGAAAAATCAATAATTATAATCCACGTTAGATCATTAAGATTTTTAATCCAGCCCCAAGACAATTGCAAAAAAAACATTTTTTGTCATTCGAAGAAGTGAAGGATATGAATGTGAAGGAGATTATGCAAACTGGCATGAAATACAAACTCACAATCGGCTCCATTTGATGGTCCAGCAGCACTGGCGGAGTAATTGCTGCTAGATGCTGCCGTTGAGGTTGTCGATGAATTCCCGCCTCCGCCTTGTCCCGTGAGAGACCGGCCCACGCTAGCCAAGGCCCGCTTGAGGGCAGAGGGCAGGGAGGAAGTGGCTGAATAGTTGCTTAAGTAGTTCCCTCCGGACCCAGCTGCACCTGTGCCCCCATGATGACGATGGTGAGCATGAGATGCTTGTCGTCGCGAAGACGAGGAGAGCTGGCTGTCGTTGGACGCGGGCTCCACTATGAAGCGTCCGACTGCCCGCCCACCTTCCGACTTCCGTCCCCCACCACTACTAGGCCCTGAAGATGCACTCTCCCCCGTCGATGATATTTTTGATGTCATCTCTGCGATCGACGATGGAATGTTGCTATAACAAAATTACAATCTCAACAACCCTTTTCCATTAAACATCTTGAAGGGTGATAGCGATTTTGAGCAATTCTGGTGAAAAATTGGGCTCCAGTATTTTTCTCTATAGCACGGTTTGCAATTCCCTTCAGAGAACAGCTAATGCATGATCTCAAACTTTCCTACTGGGCTATCGAAGCTCACAACACCAATAATGGGATTACAAAAAATCTAATTCAACTGCATAGTGGGTACAATTTTTCTTTGTTAACTGCGGGGCGAATAAGAGCACTGAATGTGAATAATGGTGAGACAACTGCATTGCTCTGCAATAAGATAGAGGTTTGTTTATCATAAAACAGAATGTCAATACGGGCAACACTCAGCATTCTAATAGGCATTCTATCAGTTAAATTGATCCATGCTGGTGATTATCAGACAACAATTCTTCCCTCCAACTCTGCTATTGAACGATATCGATGTAACTACTTGAGGTGCTACTGCTTCACTAGAAAAAAATGTAACATTTGAAGACGAAGACCATCCAGCGTCGATTTCCATTAAATGGTAATACCAAGTGGCATGATCGTTAGTAGTGACACACAAGACGCAGAGAAGAGTGAAGAGGAAAAGGTTCCATCACTTAACTGCCACCTTCAGTTTGCTAACAACCTCTCCCCACCAACAAAATTTCAGGACTCTTATACACACACACACACTTTACTAAATGAGGTATTCCAAAGAGAGCCATAAAAGAGCTCGCAAAGGTATTTTGTATTTTCCATTACTTGACGAAATTTAGCAGAATTTGTTCATTCTTTCCAAAACTACCGCAGTTACAAAAGACCCGTTGTAATAGGAAACTCCCGATTCACTAAATGACACGTGGTCCAACGAATGAACAAAACTTGGAAAATAGAGAGAATATCTAATGAAGATATGGAAAAGAAACAATTTCCCTCTTTGTTGAGATCGTATTTTAACCTACGAATTGGAAATGGCAAATGTCGAAGCGGAGGTAAATAAGCACAACACCTCCCTCCGCTCCCAACACCCTGGAGGAAAGAAGGCAAAAGTAACTCACGAGATTTGCTTCTTCAACATGTTGGGCAGAAGGGAATAAGTAGCGAAGACGTGGTCAAAGCCTGGTGTAAGAACAGAGTTCACGAGATCGGTTTCTGTGAATCCGAGACGAATCATGTGCTCTACGTATACCTCATTTAGGTGTATTTGGGCTGGCTCCACAAAGGGGATCATCAGAGTGTCGTACCCCATGTTCAGCCATCGATCGTTCATTAACGCCTAAATAAATAAAAAAGAGTGTAAACACGAAAGTTAAGCATGAGAAGAAATGCCACGCAAGGGGGAGGAGGGGAGGGGGGGGCACATGAAACGACTGCTTCTCTTACACGAAGGGAGTAGCGATCACGCGGATCTAAAACGAGCATCTTTTTGAGGAGTGCAAGAAGATCGCTGGAGACTTCGCCTTTGCCGAGATTGTAACGTACTGTGAGGATTTTTGTGCGCAGCTCTCGTAGGTCCGTCGCATCGAAAGGTAAATGACCCACCACAAGGGTGAAAAGTAGTACTCCCATGGACCAAACATCCACGCCCGGTCCATGGTAACGAATTCCCTACGAGATAGGGGCAAATTTATCTCCATAACAATTAGAAAATAAGGAGATGTCCAGAACTAGGACCTACAAGGAATAATTCCGGAGCTGCATAAGGTGGGCTACCACAGAAAGTAGTGAGCTTTTGGTCTGGGACGAAGGTATTAGCCAAGCCGAAATCCGCTACCTTGACATTTAAGTCGGAGTCTAGGAGAATGTTCTCAGCCTTGAGATCCCTATGGACTATATTTTTGGAGTGGCAGTAATCGATAGCGGAGACAAGCTGGCGAAATTTGGCCCGAGCTTCTCTCTCGTGCATTTTGCCGTGTGCAACGAGGTAATCGAATATTTCACCTGTATCAAGAGGAGGATCATTTCATGATTAAGTTGACATACCACCGTTGGCATACTCCTGCACTAGACATATCACTTCATCATTTTCTATGATCTCTAGAAGACGAACTGCACAAATACACAATAGTAATCAGCTAAAAAGAAGAAGATTTACCTATATTGGGATGATTGAGTTTTTGAAGGATAGTAACTTCGCGCTTAAGCTAAAGATGAAATAATTTTAAAAAAATATAGCAGCGTACACGATCGTTAAATGTCCGGTCCATATTCTGCTTTTTGATAATTTTGATCGCGACCTAAATACGTCATATTAACAAAGTAAACTCACCTCGACTCCTGTTGCCATATGAATTGCCAACTTGACTTTGGCAAAGTTACCTTTCCCAATAGTACGGACAAGCTTGTATTTGCCCACGTTATGTCGCGTAACTTGAGATACTGGAAGGCCAGCTGATGGCTGTGGTTCTTTATTTTCCTCACGATGATTACTTTTTCCTGGTGATGAGCTTGATTGTTTGTCTTCTTTATGTGAGCGGGTAGGGGATTTGGTAGTTTTGGTGCTTCGCTCCGTTGAATTGCCCTTTTCTTCATTAGAGGATGATTTTGTAGAAAGAGTAGTGTTTTCCGAAACATTTGCTTCCATTTCGGAACGCTCAGATAGGTTGAAGTTCGATTTAAATTAGACTGAAACGAACACCTCTCAGTTGATTCAATAAAGGCATTTTAATTGGAGATTCAGCTCTATATAAAAAGCCCGCTTTCTAAGGCCGGTGGTTGCTGCAGCATAAGCGAAACGGTAAAATAAATAAAAAATAAATTAATTTGAACGAATTTCTCCAGTAAATTGGTAAAATATTGGAAAGCTATTTATTGATATAAAAATCACGTGTCCATATATTATATACTGCCTGTATATAACATCATAAATGGAGTCCACTTTTTAATATACTCCGGATTAGAGACTGGCTGTACATTATGTATCTGACAACCTTTGCTGAAGTATTTACTTATACTATATCTTGATTTTTGTTAGTGAGGCTGAATTTTTGGTAAGATTTTTTGTTTATTAATAAACGTGTAAGCGTATAACTATTTTTAAATCACCAATATATTGTAAATCAGTTATGCAAAAAGAGTAAAGTCAATTAAGATAATGAATCATTTAGGTAGACGTCAAAAAATTATGCAAGTAGTTTAGGGGAGATGGGTCCTTCTATCTTATATCACGTAATTTGCTCAAATTTTATTTAGACGAGCACTGCTAAACTTAAGACCATAATTGAAATAAAAAATGTATATCCCAGAGAGAAAACAAAAAATGAGAGAATGCCATCGTTATTTTGCTATAAATAAACATATGACTGCAAATTATTAAAATTACTGTGTCATCGAAATATTAAATACTTCCATGAATACCTGGATTTGATGGTACATCCCAATAAACCAAGTAATGAAGAGAGAATTGCTCTCAAATTGATATTTTCTCTTATCATACTCCAAGTATTTTGAGAACTCCTGTATTTTCTAAAATAATATATCAGAAAGTAAACTTCCCAGTCTTAGCTAAAATATCGATCTTGAAGCCTTCTGTGTCTCTGGGTTTCAGCAGCCAATAACGTTAATGTAAAAATTAAATGCCGACCTTGATTAAAAAATTAAGTGCGAAGCTACCATGTTTGTGCAAATGTCAAATGAAATAAAACAACATTTATGCATCATCGACTAGCAGAAAGGACCAAAATGACTTATAACCCCCAGTTTCCGCCTATTTTTTCTTTTAATAGAATAACTTAGTCAAAGCCCCTACGTTTACCTCAGATTCAGTTCATATTTATCCTCAAGATCCTTGCAAAGCACAATGGCCATGTAAAAGTGAGTAAGGAAATTAAGGAAATAGACACATTTTAATTTTTGAATTTAATTCAAATTTTATGGTGGTTAAGAGGCAATTAATGCAGGTGAAATAAATTTATTTATATTAAATAGCAGGCGTTTTAATAGTTATCATTAGCCCTTTAGTTGACTTCAGGCTCCACAGATGGGAAGGAACGTCAAAGTGAAAAAGGTCGAGATGGGGGGAGGAGGGACAGAAGAGTGTTTCAAAGATGTAAAAGAGACAGACACAAAGTTAGGAAAAAGGTGAGAGGAGTACGGTTGAAGTAGTCTAAGTTAACATGCAGTGGGGTGAGGGTAGTTTGGAGTCTGAAGTCAATTACCAGTTAATAGACATTTTTGCCGTACGACGATACGTTGCCCAGGGTGCCCCACGTGGAGGTAAGTCTATCGCACACCCCAGGAGAAATAAATTTAAACTCTAGCCTCATAGGTCTAGAATCAACGTAGTTCAAATCTAAGTTCTATCTACTATAATTTTAAAACTTAAAATAGCAAAAAAATTTTTCTTCTCCTCGAATTTATTACTCTTCTGTAATTCTCCGACTTTTAATTAAACCAAAACTGTTCATTTACTCATAACCATTGTTTCCTTGATCAAGACTATTAATTTTGCTAAATCTTCAATATATTTAGATTTTAAGTTTATTTGTGGCCGTTTCCATAGGTTTGTATTATCCCCTAGAGGCTAAATACTTCCGGTGTGTTCAACAGTGTGATGACTGTTGCCAAAACTCAAATTCACTTAACGACTTCCTCCCGCCTGATCTCATCGTCGGCAAGAAGCCCTCCAATATGAATTTACAAATCTAACAGCCACAACTTGCTCTGCGTCCGATAAGTAGATTTTTCGCTCGTATTTCGAGTTAATCGATTTTTAGTTATTATCGTGTTTCCTTCCTTTTGATGTCTACATTTTGCTTGGAAGAAGAGTTGAATTAATTGAAGTAGGAAATAGTGCAGATTAACAGTAGTAAAATGGACATAAATTTACCTCTAACTTATCTTCTAACCATCTAAACTGACTAACATACGAACCTTAAACAACTCCATACCAACATGTCACTTATTTTTTTCAGCGGAAAGTACCAGTAATTAGGTAGCAGAAAGTTGAAAAGCGATGAATTTTACTGAAAACGTGGGGTTGCGATGGACTTACATCCACGTGGTGCACCCTGGCCAATGTATACTCATACGGCAAAAAAAGTCTTTTAACCGGCAGTTGACTTCAAACTACCATGATCCCACTGTATGACATATTCGACCACTTCTACAGTACTACATCACATTTTTCTAAATTTTCAACCTTCGTCTTTGAAACACTCATCAGTTCCCCTCCTCTCGACTTTTTCACTTTGATGTTCCTCTCCATCTGTGAAGCCTGAAGTCAACTAAAGGGCTAATGATATCCATCAAAACGTTTGCCATATGATATAAATAAATAAATACTAAAAAACGTTCTTTTGCAACGGTGGAACTCAGCAGATACCAATAAACACCTAACGATCAGCTGTGCTCATAGAAACTTCAACATCCGCCAATCAACATTCGAAAGAAAGCAACGTTTGGTTGTAACTGACACCTCATGGAGATGTGCTTTAATTAAATTACATATTTTGCAAGCACCTTTTTTGCTCTCTGAGTAGCTAAATTTCATCATTTATTCCCCTTAGAGCTTGAAAAAATAGTCACCACGATACTGAGACTTTATTGAACCGTTGGTTAATTGAAAGAATGCTGATTAAATTTATATTTCTAGTGCCAAAGTGATCAAAATGAAGCCATTTTGTTTCATTTTAACAAGATATAGCTCAACAAAGGAGACACTTGTGGCAAGCAAATGTAGATTAAATCAACCTGTTCGAATTCAGGACACTTAAAGTTTAGGTGATCTCGAATGTGTATTTCTTTCCTTATGAAATGTCCTGAGGTGGCTGCACTTTTGTTTTTGTTTTGGTGCCTTTTCGTCCAGTCTAAGTCAACTGTAGTCCAGTGAAGGGTAACCGTTGGGGGGGG